CAACCACTTACCATCAGGTGGACTATGTGCTCGTTTGTCACCTTTATCGTATAAAAAAAATTGTGTAACAAAAACTTTACCTCAGTGTCAACTAGCGACATCTGGTGAGCAGAAAGTTATTAGCCCTCATTCTCGATCTACACCTAATACAGATAACAGATATTATTAATATTGATTGTAAACCGTTTCCTAATTTGTAAAAATTAGCCATTAGAGACACTGTTGAGGTGTACCTAATTTTGATAAGAGTGAAGAATTATGTTCGCATTAAATTACCTTGATTAATAACAGGTTCTTTGAGATCTATACTTAATATAATAAAACGGAAGAGTTTTATTGTTTTTTTGTTTGTTTAAACGCGCTAATCTCTGGAACTACCAGTCCGATTTGAAAAATCCTTTTTGTATATTATAGCCAGATTCATGTGGAAGAGTATAGGCTAGTATCTAACATTAAGCTATATTACTCAGCTAGCCTTAAATATGGATATTTGTTAAGCAAGTCAGAAGAAAAAGCACTCTCGAAATGATTTATCCGCGTACGCTGGTGTTATCGTTAGGGATACGTAAATACAATGTTCTAGAAAAATATAGACCTTTAATCCGTCTAAAAAAAGTCCGCAATACCATATGTCTATTTCTTATACATAAGCCATAATTTGGTATTATGTGACAAAAAAATATTGAAAATTTAAAAGTAATTAATGAACGTTATTATTAGGCATGGCCTATTTATCCTTACGAACGAAAGTTACTTCATTATCTAGATAATTCTATGAAGATAAACTTTATTCTTTATACCATGTTATTTTACGCATAGTTTAAGAGATAATTTAAAATAAAAATAATTCAATACTTGGCTGGGCGCGCGAACAACGCTTAAACCCTAGCCGTTATAAAATGCTTGAAATAGGTCATGTCGCGCACCTCGGACTCGGACACGTGATGACGCGGGTGAAACCGCGGGGCACAGCTAGTTTTATTATAATCTGAAGATATAAGAGATATTTAATTTTAATGTATAGATATGTCTATAGATAAGGAGATGTTATCTATCTCATTTTGAAATGTTAATTTCTTATCTTAGTATTCAAATTTGCGTTTTCAATAACTGGCTCGATATTTTGTGCATGTATAAGTATATACCTACGTTGACTGCCTTATTGGTCTAGTGGTCGTTAGCGCTACTGCTGAACATGAGCTCCTAGGTTCGAATCCCGGGGAGGAGTTCAGCGGTGGACTTTTATAGGAGGAATACACTGTGTTTTAAAAAATGATATTTATAAATTCATCTCTAAGAAACAACGTGTAAAGTTATGAAAAAATTTACCTGAAACTTTTATTTTGTCACTTATCAGAAAAGAAAAAAATGCGCATGAAATAATTATTTCTTATGTTTACGTTCACACTACACATTTAAATAAAACTAGTTTTTACAGATTTTATGGCGTATATTAACTTATTTTATATTTCCGACGTATATCGAGCACTTTACAGCACCCACCCACGGGAGGAGGTGTTCGACATTCCAACGTCATAGTCAACCACGGCTACCTTCAGATTAAAGTGCTCGAAACGTCGGGAATATAAAGTTATAAAAGTTAATATACGCGATAAAGTCCGTTTTTAAAACTAGTTTTATTTAAATGCACATAAAATTTAAAATATATTACCTTTACTGAATATATATACATATAGACTTATAATTCTACACTTTAAATCGACTCTAACGTGTCATTAAAATTTATGAGCTCAATTAAAACCACCATAATAATACAAATTGAAAAACTGTAACAAACACTAGATATAATTAGCAGGTACTTACTTTTTTATAAAATAAGGGTGACAAACGAGCACACAGTCCAGCCGATGGTAAGTGGGTGTGGCCCATAGACATCTAAATCTAACCTCTGAGGACTAAGATATTCATTTCCATTAAAAAAGGTCTCCGGTTTTCTACATTCACCATACGAAACACAACAGCATTAAGTTTCTATTTTACGCTGGTATTCTGTGAGAGCGTGGTCCTTCCCCGGTCGAGCCGACCCATTCTTGCTACAACCATAATATAGATGCAGCATGGTTCTAGCACGTATAAACTGAATTGTATATTCAAAATATTCGGCAAAAAGACATATTACGGAAATGAATTCTTGAAATATTTATTTACTTTAATCACAAGGTTAATCACAAGTTATTATAAAGATAAAGAAAAAATGGACTACAATATTTTGCCATAAAGAATTATTGTGTTCCCAATAACATTGATATTTTTATAATAAATCTTTGATAAACAACGATAAGAGCACTTAATTATCAGCTCCGTCCGTAAGTAACATTACAACATTCTCATGTCACTTCATCATCTATATATAAAAATAACTGCAGCCTTGTTTCTGTTTCGGTTGCATTAATTGTTCAGTAATTAGCTTGTGAGCGATGTTTAAACCTATGTTACTGTTGGTTTATATTGTTAACGTTTTAGCCACATATATACTTAATATTCTGTATGTTTGTTATAGATTACTCCTTTATTATTGTTTGTAAATTGTTAAATTTCTCGTAAGCGATTTAAGTTTTTACGTGGTAGAGCCATGCTGCTACTATATTAATAGTACCTATAGCTGTAGCACGAATGGGTCGGCTCGACCGGGGAAGAACCATGCTCTCACAGAATACCAGCGTAAAATAGCAGCTTAATGCTGCTGTGTATCTTATGGTGAGTAGATATAGAGAACCGGAGCCCTATTTTACTGGAAAAGAGCCATTCTATCTTAGTCCTGACGGCTGACAACGCATCTGCATTTTAATTTGCAAGCGAAAATAGATGTAGATGTCTATGGACCACAGCAACCACTTACCATCAAGTTGACTGCGTGCTCATTTGTCATCATTATTCTATAAAAAAAGTAAGGATAAGTTTTGTTCTTAGCTCAAGCCAACAAAGATGGCGTACATATGACGCCGGAACCAAACTAAAACCATGCTCAACCTATTGTTAGAACACACATTCACGCACACATATGCTTTAAAATCATTTGCTACCAACAATGTGGTTTTAGGTCCATAAATATGTTTGTGTCTAAATATGCAGTAGACCTACGGGCTGTCATAGAAAGTACGTAAGTGCGTAGGTAGAGTATGGCTCCGACATCACTAGAAATGTAAATATGTAGGTACTTTGTATTCTGCTTATATTTCTTTATTTATCTGAGGTTCGATATAATGTTCATTTGCAGTATGTTTTTTTAACATTGAGCCAATTAATTTATTTAATAGATAAATGTTCGCGGTTTATGGCGATGATTTCGGAGGCTTTTAGCGCTCACTTCTCCGCTGCATGCATATTTGTCTAACACAAAGTAAGTGTGTGGCATTCGGTGGTAAAAAAATTAAATTTATACGAAAAATAAAAAATAAATGTGCCCGATTATGAATCCAATTCAATAACATGCCTTTCATTTTATCGGCAAATACCTACTTATATATAAAAACGAGAACTCGGACGTCAAAGTTTTTTATATTTAGGTATTAAAAAAAAATTATCTCGATTAATATAAAACATTTTAAAGATTCATTCGATTAAGAATTTAATTGGGATTTCATGTATGTGCTTATTTTTTTCGAGCATATACATACCTACTGTTTCGAGGAGTAGGTAGGTATACATTCTCGAGCGTCAAAATCGTATGCAAAATACGGTAACTGATAACTGGCTACACCTATGTATAAACCGAATACACCTTAAATGAAGCAAGTAGTGCGTGGATTTAATAGATATTTTTTATTAAATACAATAGACAATTCAAATCATGTCAGTCCTTTAATTTTTCTTAAATTTTTATTTGCTTCTACATTTATTAGGACAGGTTGCAGTTAAACTATAGACGGATTATCATAAAAAAGATTACACAAGCTTACACTCAAAACTAAATCTAAGTTTAGCCGACTAATCTTAAGTTTATTGCCTACTTAAATAATTAACACTACCTACCCGTTATTTATAACAAAGGTTAGAATTCAAATCCGTTTCCTTTAACTTTAAAGGTGTCTAAACACTGTAGAATTCCACGATAAATGTTAAAATTTTAAGATATAAAATTTTTAATGCTAACCTTAATACTACTATTGGCTGGTTAGGTTTTTATTTATTTACATATTACTTATTTTATTTATTTTATTAGGTATATTCAATGCATATTTATGTATGTTTATCATTGTCTTTTAGGTATATATTTATTAAGCCGAACCGGATGAGAATATAAATACAAAATAAAAATAATCTACCATCGGATAAGCCGCATGCTCCTTTGCCTCCTCTTCCATAAAAAAAAATACTAACAGAATTGATTTAACTCCTTTTATAAGTTCAATTAGACACAGGTGTCTACGCATGTTGTAAATCGTATCATAATTAGATAACATTCACAACAGTGATAATTTTTTGTTAATTTATCATGACTTGCGACTACCGTACTCGTATTATCGAAGCTTAGTCCAAAACTCGCGTAATCTATGACCTAACTGTAAATGTTATTTTATAACCTATACTATGATAATGTGTTACTACTAAATTGTTATATATAAATAATTTTCATGAATTCGTGTCGTTAAACCACATAACAAACCACAAGTTTTTGTAATCACGACCAAAGGTATTTGTTATAAGAATAGCACAACATAAATAAACAAGTCGAAGCGTCCGCTTTAAGCTAAAATAAAACATTTAAGTCTCGCACATCCCACGATTGAGGCTTGAGGCTTGCCCGGCTTGTGTTGAGAGTGGGAGCTCTCGGGATAGGAGGCGTGGCGCTATGTATAGAAAAGCTCGCCTCGCGATTGGTTCATCCTTGCTCTGAAAGCTGCAGGGGCGGTGTCAGCGACGCGCGGTATAAATAGTGACACCCGCCTCCGCGCCCGCCAGTCTACTCGCCGCTCGCAGTGTAGCGCAGACGCGCAGCGCGCTCTCATCCGTTACAAGTGCTCCACAAGTGTATCAACATGGTGAAATTTGAAGGAGATTTCAGTATAAACGCTATACTGATGAATCATGCAGTTTCCAAGCCGCCGCCGTCGCCTGCGACGTCTTCTAACGGTGCTTCGCCTTCAGAAGCAGAATTAAGCGATTCGGAACTCGACGTCACCGGAACTGAACCCGTCGACTGCACAAAGCCCAAAGAAGAGGATAACGAGAAGAAAGATAAGAAGCACGAGAAGCCCGCATACAGCTACAACGCCCTCATCATGATGGCAATCCGGAACAGCCCTGAGAAACGGCTCACACTCAACGGCATTTATGAATACATCATGACAAACTTCCCGTACTACAGAGAGAACAGACAAGGGTGGCAAAACTCCATCCGTCACAACCTGAGTCTTAATAAGTGCTTCGTAAAAGTTCCTCGGCATTATGACGACCCTGGGAAGGGTAACTATTGGATGCTCGACGCGTCTGCCGAAGATGTGTTCATCGGTGGTACGACTGGCAAACTCCGTCGGCGGTCTGCGTTAAACGGACGATCTCGACTCGCCTGCTTCAAGAGGCCCTTGTTCCCGGGGGCACCATTGCCTGGAGCATACCCGCCATCGACGTATTCACAACTCGTCGGACTCTACTCCCAATTGTTGTACCAGAGATATGCGCCGATGCAAATGAAGACACATCCAGTAGCCCCGAGCGCTATTCACCCCGCGTTCCGAGGCGCTGAAGCAATGGGATATGGTGGCCTTCCTTACTCTCCCGCCTTGTACGCGTCGGAGAGGTTATCCGCGCCGTTCCTTGGCCAATCGCCGCTCCTGCAGAATTCTCCGGCGCTATTAACGCAAACATCACCCCTGCTGCCTGCATCACCTCCGTTGATGGCCCACTCGCCTCCAACATCGGGTGCCTCTAGTCCAGAACTGCCGTCACCGTCGCATCACCCGCTCACACCTCACATCTACAAGCCCGTCACAGTTTTAACGAGGCAGTGACTACAATCGTTGAGAAATCTCGAAGAGGCTGACGCTCTCGGACACTCTTGAGAGTGAGACGATTCTATCTGTGATTTAGTTATAGTTAGTGTACTGTAGCACGGAACCAGTGGCGGGCAATAACGCAGAGGTAATACGAGTATCCGTAGCGTATGAATATATGAAGCACCTGATTTAATGCAATATTAGTCGTGTTGTTATCCTCACCATTCCGCTATTGTTTGTTGCTGTATATTCTAAATGTGTAAATACTCCCAAAGTGTATATTTATTGAAGTATTTAGGCTAAGGATGAGAGATGTAACGAATAAAAGAAAGGTTAATAGAATTCATAACTTTTATTTATTTATCCTGTTAATTTATTAAACTGAAAAACGTAAACACAGTTTAAATTTGTGTGATATGATTCTCTATAATAATTCAATATTAAACGTCACTGAAATACATGTTAGGTAAGTATATATTGCACAATTGCACAATTCGACTTTCCACGATTACAGTTTTCTAAGCACCTAGGACTTATTTCAATATTTCACTTTTGTATATCCGTAATAAATCTTTAAATCGTTATAATATTATACATGTGAAAACGACTGAAAGGATGTTATATAAATTTAATTTGGTATAGATTATATTATTATATGCAGATGCAGATTATATTATTATATGCAAAGAGACTTGGGATATTTTATAGGTAACAAATTTTACAAAACATCAGTTCACGACGGCGGATAAAATTAAGTAAAGTTACAGCCTATATATTATGTCCCACGGCTGGGCACATGCTGGGCACAGGCCTCCTCTTATTTCTAAGAGGGTTTAGGGCAAGGAAATGTTTGCCGCGCTGCCGCAATGCGTGTTGCCAGACTTCAAATGTAATATAATTGTAAATATAATTGTTTTAAACTCGGACATGCAAGTTTCCCAGCGGGCAGATAACAGTAAGTATTATAATGTTGAGTTAAAACTGATTAGAAAGTATGTTTGTTTGGTTGTTTGTCCTGCAATTACGCTTAAACGGCTGAAGGGATTTAAATGTAATTTGTCATAGAAGTCGATTTTAAAGTGAAATAGCCTACCTACTTTTTAATTTTTTCTGACAGTTATCGATATACATTAATTTAAAACTCATCAAGAAAAACAGATTTTAAACGTTACTAAGAAACTTTCAATTAACAAAGTACCTATCTACTTATTTAATAAATCAATCAATCAAGACTATATTTAGGCCTACCGAGTGACCGCATCTACCGCTAACATATTTTTTAAAATACGATTTATTTATTTATTTAAACTTCAATAATACAATAATAAGTAAATTGTTAATTTCATTTAGCGTATCTATAGTTAACTCAAAGCGTGTAGCTAAATTTAAGAAAAAGAATTTTCCAGTAATTCTTTTATATATTCTTTTTTTTTAAGATATACTAATATTTTAGATGACGGACGATGCTTTTGCGACTGGCTGGTGATAGAAAATCCATAGATGACCCAAATTTTACTGGCCATAAATGCATAAGTGAATTTGAAAAAAAAGAATTCCAGGAAAAAGATGTCACGACAAATATATGTAGGATATAGGCGGTAATCCAAATGTCATTAGAATCATTGTACCTATAGGACATTCGTAATCTACTTGGGCACTCAATTTACGTTTACAAGCAACTTCTAATAGGTATAGTTTAGTTTAATAAATAATAGCTCGTAAATAACCATAAGGTTTGCGACTTATTATTATACGGATTGTAAACTGATGTACTTTTGTGAAGTAATAATGAATAGTATTAGATAATACTGTTGTACCTACCGGCCTAGCTCTTAACCATAGAATAATTACTTATGTATTCTAAGCTCTGAACAATTATATTCATAGATTTACAATACGTTCGTACGTACTAATTAAAATGAGGTGATCGCTACGAAGCTATTTCTAATTTGTTGTGTTGTTAATTTGAGTAACATACATGATTGTAAGCTGTTATTTAAAAAAAAAGTCCCGCTGGGTTTCTTGCTGGTTCTTCCCAGGGCAGAGGTTTTTTTTTCGAACCAGTGGTAATCATACAAAAGAGTAACTTTCAATAAGTATTATTTATAATCTATATTGAATAAAAAAGTTTCTGTTTCTGTTTCTGTTACAGTGTAAAAAATCAAACAGCAGGTAGGTACCTACGCTTCAATAAATCAATTACATAAAAAGGTTATATTAGGTTATTTTACGTTATATTATAAATATTAGACATTAAAACAAATTGTTTCCATTTAATAAGTAATTAAAAAAATATTTAATACACAGTTGTTTTTACAATTTCAAAGAATATCTACAAAATAAAAATACTCTACATAAATCTATATTAGCTGCTGGTATTTTTTGGTAATTTTGGAAATATCGTTTAAAATTTGGAAGAGTTATATTAGTTTAGTTGGTAATGATAAAAGATTTGATGTAATTGAATGATACATAACTTTCAAATAAATTTGTCAGCACAACACGCGCGCCACCTACTGTAAGTTAATTGTACTATGCCTATAACCTTCGCGCAAGTACAAGTAATAAGTTGACAAAAGTTTACCGCAATCTGATGAACAGTAGGGCATAAAATACGATCAAACAAACATTAATTTTTATATATTAGATTATATAATTAAAAAAATTATAACTATACAAATTTCGATTAATTGTATAATGCTTATAACTAACAACTTTATACAGTATGTAACGTATGTTAGGCATTGGCTTATTAAATTAAATATAATAAATATTATAATATATATCTACATATTTTGCCAGTGCCATGTAAGATATAAATTAACACCAAAGCTAAAGTAACACTTAACTTACAATAAATATTTTGAATTTAAATTTAATTATGGTTAAGTTTAAAAAACAATTTACTAATTTGTTTTACGTTTAATAATAGCATTGTTGCATCGACCACGCTCGCAATGATGGTGCTTAAACTTATAGGTATTATTTTGACGATTTTGAGCTAAAAGATGGTTTCTTATTATTTTCGAGTTCTTAGTAAGACGCTGTTGCCCATCTCCTGTTTCAATTTCCATCTATCACCTCTTACGACATCCACGGGATGATAAAGAGTAGTTACGCTGTGGCGGCGTTCGTTTTTGTTTCATCTAACTATTAACAATAATATGGTCTCCGATTCTCTACACTCGCCATACGAAACAGCAGCAATATGCTGCTATTTCACGCCGGTATACTGTGCAAACATCTGAACTGTCTATTCCATCACTCTCATACTCCGATGAGAGGACAATCCAACACAACCGAAAAAAGATAAAAACAAAAGAAAAAAGATTTATTTAACCGACACACAACATTAAGTGACAAGACGCAGGACCAGTAACTAATTTTGACCTGACCTGGGATTCAAACCCAGGACACCCTACTTAAATCAACTGCTGAACGTGGCCTCCGCAAAGAATTTCCACTAAATTGAACCCTGAGCCGTCTGCATTCATAGATTTCGTGCATGTTTTACCTGGTCATCACTCCACCTCACCTAATGGAAGTCGGACCAACACTTCGCTTGCCGGTACGAGCCTGAAACTCGAGAACATTTCTTCTCCATCGGTTGTAGGTTCTTCAAGCTATGGCCGGCCCATTGGCACTTCAGCATACGGTGTAAGAATATCCATGACCCTATAACATGCCGTGGGTGTTGTAAGAGGCGACAGAGGGAAACAAATTAGGAGATGGGCAGCAGCGTCTTCCTAATAACGACTAAAAATAAAAAAACTGCGGTTTACAACCCGCTTGTGGCAACTATGGCAACGGTTCTGCGGGGGAGGCTTACGTTCAGCAGTGGAGTTTAATAGGCTGTGCCGTTGAAGGTAATATATTACTTATACTTAACTTTGTACATACATAATATACAAGTATAAATAAATAAGTTATTGAAGTAATTTAATTAACCGTATAAAAATATATAGGCGTACATCCGTTTCAACATTTCGGTGCTCCTGTCACGTCAAAAACAGAAGTGATCCCTAATATTTATTTTAGATCTCGTAAGCCCGTAACGCGAGGGAGTTGACCCCGCGAGCCCGTGAGCTGCAGCTCCTAGGTTTCATCATCATTACTACATCCCATCACAATTTCAGAACCTAGGCCTCCCTCGAAGAACACCAAAAAACATTGTTTTTTTTTTACTTTTTGTTTGGTTTTAGGTAGTTGCTTGTTGATTATGTATTAGATTCTGCTGTTCTTAAAATTCTATAAATTTTAAATTAACAGTTACTATCACACTATCAAAAGTCCATTGCTTAAAATAGGCATTCATCAGCCATTTTCTATAGTTCAACGCTTGGCAAGTGGGTTGGCAATCGCAGTTTTTTTTATTCTGCTGTTATAAGGAAGATGTCTGCCTGTCTCCTGGTTCAGCTTACCCCTGCCGCGTCTTACGACACCCACGGGATATGGGATAGTGGATTTTCCTGCACTACCGCTATACGATTAAAATTTAAAATACTTCACTTGTAATATTTAAACTAATCAGGTGTTAAAAATCTTTCTCCCAAAAAAATTTAACTTAAAAACTACCTACTTAAACTATAGTTATAAGAATTTTGCAGATTATATTTACAGTAATCCTAGGATCAACCATAATCTATATCTCTTCTTCATTCATAGAACTTTACTGTATTTACAGAAAACATCGAAACCCCATTTGATTGTTCTTTTCTCAATTTGCATTTATAGTTAGTTCTCATTTCTATTATAGATTTAAAAGTTAAACTGTTAACTATTCAAACGCTTATTACGAAATCTAAAATTGTAAATTTGATTCTCACTAGTGAAGTTGAAGTCAGCTAATAGAGACCCGAAAAATAAACATTATATTATATATACGTTATTTTTATTGTATATATAATGTAATAATGTAGTGGCATAAAGTGCCTATTTGTGTATTGGCAAAAATATAACTTATATAGGCCAAAGGTTTCAAGTTTCTTATCTCAAATATGAACAATTAAAAGAAG